GCAGTTGGAAAAAAGCTATTATCATACATCTACACTAGAAGGATGAAAAAACAGTAACTACATTTACTATTGTAGCTACAGATTTATATCCCTACTAAATACGGCGTATAAATAGTATAATAGATTTAATAATAAATATAATAATAGATTTTTGGCAGATATTTGTGGACTTAAGAAAAGTGTACGATAGCATACATGATACATAGGGAGAGTCTGTTTAATATTATGGAAGAATTTGGAATACATAATAAGCTTGTGATACCAATATGTGTATGAAAGGAACAAAGTACCAGGTAAAGGTAGACAGCACATTACCTGTGGCTTTCATAGAAGACATGGATTTAGGTTTAACCACGGCTTTGTAAATGGCCGCAGCATAAATAGGGTTACGAACTAATGTGGAAAAAACCTAAATAATGGAGCTTATCGACGGAGAACCATACCAAGACGACCTAAATGCAATTGCTTTTGAAAAAGTTGAAGAATTCCAATATCTAGGAGTACTGCTCAGTACAAAGAATGATTGGTCGCGTGACATTGGTGCGAGAATAGCAAAGGAAGAAAGAGCTTCCTTTGCACTGTCCAAATTCTTCAAAACCAAAGCTCTCTCCAAGAAACCCAAACTAAGACGGTTCACGGCGATAATTAGACCCACTCTCACTTATGGGTGTGAAGTGTGACAGTGAGACAACTGAAAATTTTTGAGGATGATATGCGGACCAGTTTGTGATACAAATGCGAATGGAGAAGGAAGTTTAACAAGGAACTTCAGGAAGAACAGGGCTTAGCACCAGTCACTAGTTACATAAAAGAACAAAGAATTCAGTGACTGGGCAATATTATGAGAAGAAGCGAAGAAGAAACCATTAGAGCAGTTATGGAATGGAAACCGGAAGGGAAAAGGCCTCGAGGCAGACCGAGGAAGAGGTGGCTAGACGTAGGAGCAGAGGATCTTAAAACCCCGACAGTGCAAGAATGGAAGAAAATTGTGCAAGATCGAGAGAGATGGGGGGATGTAGTGATGGTGGCGAAAACTCTAATAGGGTTGTAAATGCCAGTAAAGAAGAATGCTGTTCATGCACTAAACCCTATTTAAAAAATATCTTAACGCTATGTTTGCAAAAAAAAAGTAAAGATTCCCATTTGAATTTCTAAAGATGACCCGCAAAACCCCCCTTAGATATTGTATAGTTGATTACAAATGGGAACCCTAATCTTTTTTTGCAAACATAATGTGAAAACGTTTTTCAAATAAGTTTTAGTGCATGAACATCATTAATTAATGCAAAACTCTAGCTACACCATGTTTTGGTTTTGTTATAGCTGAATGAGAAAAAGCCCCGGGTTCAGTAAATAAACTAGCCACACACCTAGCTAATATTATCCTCGTGAAAATTAAAACTATACACGTAAAATTGTGGGGTCCCGGGACACTATCCCACTTTGCTCTATGATAGCTACTCCACTGAGTGTATTTATGTTCTATACTTTTTTTTTTTTTATTTAATATATTAAAATGTCTCAGCATACAAGATGCTATTACAAGTATAAACATTATATAATTTTACAAAATATTATGTTGTGTTAGTTGAGTCGAATGGTAATTGATTATGTATAGATATTTTTAAATAATATAATGGGAAAAGGAAATGAGATAAGATATTATATAAGTTAATTAATTTTAGTATGGATTGTCTGGACGTTAAGATTATGGAGTGCTATTAGCTGTGAGTGCATTTAGGACTGATGAAAGAAGGGAGATAAGGGGGCTAATTAGTGAGTTTAAATTTGATATTAAACTTGAGAGAGCGTCGGTGGTTTTGAGTTCCGAGTGTAGGTTTTGATGAGTTTTGGTGGCTTCAGTGTAGGATTTGGTTTTTTGATAGTTGTTAGTGTTGGTGTTGTTGGAATCAGGAATCTTGGCTGGATGGACGGTTTTTTTTAAGGCAGCTTTGTAGACTTGGCATCCTTTGAAGTTGGCAGTATGTTCCTTAGTGCAAAGCGCACATTTGGCGGGACTATGTCGGTCTTTAGGGCATTCTATTGTAAGGTGGTTTTCACCACATTTAACGCATTTTGGTTCGTGGCAGCAGTTATTTCGCGTGTGTCCATAGGATTGACAGTTGTGACATTGTGGTGGGCCACGTCTCTTTTTGTGTGGTTTCTCAATCAGTACCTTAGTATTGAGTAGGAACTTGATGTTTAGGATGTCTTTATTATTGCCTTGCTTTAAAATATCCACAAAGAATAATGGTAGGGGACATTTGTTTTTATTTTTGACGTTGTATATGTGTTTGGCTGAGTGTCCCAATTCAGTCAAAGCACCGACAATGTCATTACTTAAGGTAGAAAAGTGCAGGTTTCTGATAACGACCCTGTATGTGCGAAGGTGTCGGGGGGTGTATGAATGAAAACTAGCATTAGTTTCGTGTAGGTGGTCTATGATTTTATTAAAGTTTATGCGACTTGTTGGTTGCACGATGAGGTGTGACGGCGTCTATACTTAAACAAGTAGGTATATAACCTAACTATCGTACTATGGCGGGATTCCACTGTTACTTATACTATTGGGCTATTCCAATAGTCTTTCCTAATCTTTTTTTCTATTATTTTTAAAATAAATTATTATTATAATTTGCATTCCTTATTTTAGAGTCCTGTTCCGAGTAATCAGTTGTTCAAACAAAATACATCACCTGTGCCTCATTACGGAGCATTAATTGTTCCTGATCAAATCGAAGGTGCAGCTATGCCTCAAATAGAAAAGAACAATTGTCTTAAAGTAACAAGCCATCCAGTTTCTGCAAGATCCACAAATGCCTCGCCATCCATTAATGAATCACTGTCCAACAGTCAGTTGACTAATAATAGTAATGAAGATTTAACTAGCAGTACACCAAAATTTGTCGATTCTAAACTTCAAACTAGTGTTGAAAATAAAAATGTGAGTATAAAAATATTTATGAACCGTTTTTTAAATTTAAATACTAAAATAATATCAATCGCTAAAAATATCAGATCTCCTATATCAGGGAATGAGCAACTCAAAGTTTACTAGAGAGCCAATTTGTTTGAAATTTAAAATCTAGCGAGCTAGTTTTTTTTAATTTGAAAAAGGAAAAATCAATAGAATATTGTAAAAGTGGATATTTTTTAAATGGTAATTTTTTCCAAAACCACACGACAATCTTATTTGTAGATAAAAATTATTTTGTTTGCAACTCACATCATTCTAATTAAAATGTAGCATCTTGCTTCTAAATTTTAACTTCAATTAGATCATTGTATGAATTTATTACCTACGAACAATGTAATTCATAAATACAGATTAACGTTAAAATTGTTTGAAGTTATTTGCAAATGAAGCAATAGCCAGATAAAAAAGGTACCAGGCAGCCAGTTCCCTATCCCTACCCTATAGAGTACCTCTTATTGGTGCATTATTAGGTTTCTAATAGGTGGGCACTCGGGTGCAGCGAATACTAAATAGTGTCATCACTGCACCTGACAATTTATTTAAAAGGCTCAAATCGTAAAAATATTGAATTAAAATGTGAATGTTTAGTGTTGATTGAATGAAAAATGATAAAATGATTTATCAATGTGAGAACTGGGATGTTATTTGTACAATGTACATTATTCTACTGACCTATGACAGTAAATAACAGTTAAATTAGGGCAATTGTGCATATTAAATTTTAATAGATGCCTATAAATCAAACATTTATAATAGGTACTCATATAAAATGATATGAGTACATAATTTTTATCTATCGCACCATAATGAAGTAAATAAGTGGGCAATATACGCCATTTATTGTTGTATCGGCTGTCGCACCTTTTAAAAATGTGACACAATCACCATCAGACACAATTACCTGTTCATGCCTATGAATTTAGACTGGTACTTTAAATAAAGATTTAAAATGTCTATATTTTAGAGTGCTTGGAATAACTCGATTCCTGGAGAATGTGATGATTTACCATTGATATCGGAACTGCGGTTACAACCTAATCAAAACTCTGTATAATAAATAATGTGATTTATGTTTAAATATTTGTATGTTATATCGATGATTTATTTTTTAATTTATGGTGTTGAATTTTAATATTTTATTCTTATATCTAAGACAGTTTTTTAAAGAAAACATTTATTTTAATATTAGGTTATTAAGTATTTTTATTGCAACTTTATATTATTATTTTTTTGTTATGCCAATTTATATTTTATTTTTTACAAACAACAGAAACTAGACAAAATATAAACATATTTATCTTTATGATAAAGTCAGTTCTTATTTCAGTGGTTTGGTTTTTATCAAGAGTTGCAAAATTGAAATTTATATTAACCTGTTCACATTTAGTTTTGTTGGTTTTAGATTTTTAGTATTTAATTTAATTTAATTATTATCAAATAAATAAACAACATTTTCTATGAACTCGCATCAGTTTTTGAGTTTAAAAGTAAATTAAAAATATGTAATAATATTATAATTTATTTAAAAATATTCACTAGTTATAACTTACTTTAAATTTGATAAAGGTCAGTTAACTAATATTAAAAATTTAAAACTAACAAAACTGCTAAAAAGTGAAGACCATGTAGGTTTTGTTTATTTTATAGTTTTATGATCTATGCCATTTGTTTTTAATAATAGGGTCAACCGAATTAAAATAAATTCTATAACCATGACATAATTTGTATCTTTTGTACTAGACATCAATGATACATTTACAAAATGCAATTAGGTATTTACACGTATACAATAAAACAGCAATAAAATGTGCTAAGAAGTGATGAACTAGTTTATGTCATAATGTTAAAATTTCATTTTTAATAATAACTAGATTAATTACTTTCATCTAATGTCTAAATAATTATTACTTTTTAAAAACAATACAATATTTTACAATACAAAAATCAAACAACTATTAGTTATTATTGTAACTTTATCTACAAATAAAATTTATTTAACAATTATTTGGTTTAACGAAATGTGTACAATTATACATAATATTTATAATTTTATATACAATATCGCTTGTCATTTGAAGTATCAAGAATAGAGGGCGAGGGAACTATTACTACAGATCTTAAATTTTATTCAGTCTTATTTCACGACAAAAGAAAAAAAAATTACATTAACATTTTGAATGTAGAAAGGCACAGTTTGAAGTTTTACAGAAACCTTGTTTTGCATAATATTTACATAATCGACCACCTACTCTTCCATTGCCTGGATGACCGCCTCTCCGATTGTATGGACCTCCTCTATTACCTCGTTGATTATTACGGTTCATTTTTCCTCGATACGAGTCGTAATTACCACCCCTAGGATTGTCCCATCTAGTGTGACCACGGCCGCCACCGCCTCTTTCAAAATGTGGTGGGCCGTTGTTAGGTTGTTGTTGGCTCCAATGTTGATCGTGTTGCATTGGAGGCCCAGGTGGACCCATCCATTGGTCTTCTTGAACAGGTGGAGGATGATGTTGTTGTTGTTGTTGTTGTTGTTGTTGTTGTTGTGGTTGTTGTAGTGGTGGTGGTGGTTGCTGTTGCAGTGATAGAGGTTGAGGCTGTTGTGGCATCTGATCGCCCATAAACATCTGATTATTCATCATCATCTGGTTAGGAGGAATGTACATATTGTTTGCTGGAGGACCCATTCCCATCATATTTTCAGGTGGCATACCCCAATTCATTTGATTGCCCCCAAATACTGGGAATTGAGGTTGTGGTATCATCATATTGGGCATTGGCATTACATTGTTCATTCCAATAGGAAACTCTACAATGGGAGGCTGATCACCTTTAGATTCTGGCCAAGAATTACTAACATAATTGTAAATAGGGGCTGTATCCCCCGACATGTCTTCCAAAGGAATGTTTAATGGTTCAGAGTATGGTACTATTTCCATTTGATCAGGTTCTTCTGGTGAATCCGGTATCCTGTGTAACATAGTTAGGTTAATAATATTATCATAGCGATTTAAAATTGACAAAATAAACTTACATATTTCTAGTGAAGTAAATAGCTTGCAAAACTGATTGTTCTCTAAGAGTCTGTTTCTTTTTTTCTTGACTGCCACTACCATGTTCCATTTTTTCTTTACCAAGCTCTTCTGGTAAGTCAACTAACAAGCTATCATCTAAATATCGCCAAGGTGTCTTTGATTCCATATTATCAGCAGCATCTAAACAAATGTATTTATTAGTATTACTCTTTTAATATTTTGGGATAAGGTGTAATTTATTTTTTAATTTAAACATCTTACTTAATTTTCGAACAGCAATGAAATTTTGTCTTTCAACATCTCGTTCATGCATTTCCATAGCTTTAAAGTTCTTTGTTACATTCACTAAAACAATTTAAGGAATATTATATACATTTTTTTTTTAAATTTAATTATTTTATTTAGGTGAATTTTTCATAGAACCACTTCATTTAAATTTAACCAGCAACAAATATTGATTATGAACTAATAACATATCAATTTTAAACTGAAGTCAGATATGACTTGTACCTACACAATATATATATCTTGTACCATATAAGGTGTGCTTATCGATTTTAGATTTAATTTAGGTGGTACATTGCACATTCTATACATGTGATGAATTTATAACAATAAAATGAGTTACTTCGTAACATAATGTAGCCAGACGGAAAAGGGCCCCGGGCAGTAAATAAACAACCCCCCCCCCTCTCTAACTAATATTATCCTTGTGAAAATTCAAAATATACACGTAATATTGTGGGGACCGTAATCCCTCATACCCCCCTCCCCCTCGAAATTCGGCATTGAGGCAGTTTTAGAAAGTCATATTTTAGAATACCGAGTTTTAGAATACCAAGTTTTGGAAACACTATGTTTCAGAAAATAAAACTTTAAGAATACCAAGTAGTTTTAGAAATACTGTTTTAGAATTAATAAATTCATCTACATTATAATTAGAATCGACGACTATTTATTTATATATTTTAAATATTTAATTTTTTTTTTTTGATTTTCGAAAACATGCACCCAAATCCGCAATTCAACGCTTATGATGGTACATCAATTTAGTGGATCAATTAAGGAAAATATTAGTAATAAGTAACAATAATAAATAAGTAACAACTAAACAAAATATTTTGTGGGTACAAGATATCATATCAAAATCTAATAATAAATAATAGACATACCTCTTTCGGTTTCGTCGTGTTCAAAATAAGAAACTTTCACCAAATCGTTTTCTTGTTTCCACGAAACCGATTTCTTTGACGATTTATTTCTGACGTAAACCAGAACACTTCGCATACCACTTTTGTTGTCATTGCAACTATTGGTAGTTGATTCGTCTATAGCTTTAAAAACATTAAACATTTTATTAAAATTTAAAACACATATGGGTAAATGAATAAAATAAATAATACTACTTACGACTTTTGACTTGGTTTTTTTCTTCGGGTTCATCAGTATTGAGCGACTCGTTTGTAGAATCCAATAAAGTGTCTCGATAAAACTGTACAAAATAAATTAAAATGAGATTATCGAAGACACATTATTTATTAGTTCATTTTTCAAAAATGCTGTATACCTACCTTTAGTTGTGGTGGCTTTTCAACTAGCGGTTCAACATTTAACTCTGGTTCTGGATCAGGGGTCACATCATGGGAAGTAGTATTTTCGGCCGATAACGGTACGTAATCCGAAGGCGTGTTCAATTCTGAAAATGACGGCGACTCATCGGCGTTCGTCAAAGGTTGTGGCAAAACTAATGAATCCAAATCCAACGTTGATGGTGAATGTACTGGAGATCTCGGTGGCGATGGTAAGTCAGGTTTTACAGGCGACAATGGGATGGTGGATGGGGGAGAGTCTTGATTTTTTTTAACAGCATCCGGTTTAGGTTTCCGTTTTTTGGGGACTTTTGGAGCTGAGTTTAGAACATTTAACATTGCATCCATAAACAAACCACTCTCTTTGATTTTAGCTAATAACAAAATAAAACAAAACATAAGTTAATTTTTATAAAAAAAGAATCCTATAACCACATATTTTCTTTTATCAAATAACATATTTTATACATTGGTTGATTCGTAGTTTGGAGAATATCAAAATTAAATGAATTAGGTTACATTATATTCATAATATACAATATTTTACGCGTTAATAGACATAACACAGCCATATAATAATATTAATAAATCATGGCGTATTCAATTTCTCTAAATGTTTCGATGTTCAAGTTAAAGACGTAAAACAATGTCGTAAATACAGAAATTTTCAAGTAGGTAGGAACAAAATAATGTGCATTTAATAAATCCAAGCAACTATGAAAACAGCTATTGGTAAACGTAACAGCACAATCGTTGATTTGCTGTTCAAAATGTAGTTTTTCTTTAAATCAAATTAAATTTAAAAAAAAGCTATGATACAACATGTGTTAATATTAATATTCAATACACTTAACAATTGGGAATAGGAGAAATGTTGATAAATAAAAACAATACATTATGTTTAAATTTAAAATTCTTTATTCACGCATTGTACAATGTAATAAGTAAACAAAATTATGTTTATTTTAATTCTAAAATAACTATATTTTATGGTTTTAATATTTTCACCATTGATAATTAAATTGGCTATGAAACAAATAAAATTAGTATAACAATATAATGTACAAAATACGTTTTAAATGGGTAAATTAATTTATAAGTATTTAAATAGTACCTTTATGTTATTTTTAATCATTGTAAAAATAGGACATCATTATTACCAACATATTTAACTAACATAACATCATATAAAATCAATGAAGTCAAACCCAGATAAACGTGAAACTAAAATTTGGATATTATTTTATTGTATATTTATTTGATTTGAATTTTCCAGCATGTACTAGCAGTACAATATTTTTCTTGTTTATTTCAAATACCTATTTAATGGCATCTGTAAATACTAGATACACAGATTTTTAAAATTAAATAAACAAACCAAAAAACTATACAGAATGATTATTTTAAAGAAAACATTCATTATATTAAAAAGTATTAACGTTTTAGGAAATAATTTTTTCTTTTCATAATTTGAATTCGTTACAAAACTGAAATGTTAAAAAAAAATTATATTTTGAGAATAACATACATTTTTAATTTCATATTCTCGAGCATTTTATATCTTTCTGTGAATTTCAATTTTTTATAAAAAAATAATTTTTCAAACGAACGGTTACTAGGTTTTAATAAAAATTAAAGTTTGGATGAGCGGAGTAGTTGATGGACATTTGTTGGAGTATCTGATGCCACACCACTAGTTCCCACTCCTATTCATCTACATTTTAAATAGGTAGGAATAATAACCAATTAACAATTGTGTTGAACATATTCAGTGAGGTCCATTATCTTCTTGAAGAATAAATAAAAAAACACTTTTTCAACATTTATCAAATTAAAATATTCAGAAAAATATTCTGTTTGAAAATAAGTACGTTATATTAATTCAAGTTAAGGATGTATGCTATAATTTTAAAAAATAAAAACTTAAACCCTGATAATTTTTTTTCAAAAATATTGATTTTTAATAACTAAAAAAATTTTTTTTCAAAAACGTTAATACTTACGTTTTACTAGAATCTAACATGTCTATGAGTAGTAATAAAAGGATCGTCCTGGACAACAAAATTGTTCACGTTTAATTATTTTAGGGTTGTTTCTGTTTTAGATTCATTCTACTAAAATATGAAAACATGATCAAGATCTTTATTGTTGCACCTGCAATATTTTATTACATAGCTAACCGTCACTCGAAGTGATGTTTTTCTTTGGCGCATGCATGCATCATTTAAAGGGCTTGAGGAATCCACGGAGACTGCGCGACGGAGTGTTCTTTTAACCCACCTATATGATAGACCGAGGATCGAATTGAAGCCTCATTATAGCTTTTGTATTATAATATTAATATTATATAGTACATTCACACGATTTCCATATGCTGTGAAACCCAGGGAGGCGTACTTCTTAAGCGCCGCTACTTAATACCAACTTACGTCTATACTGACGGTGATACTTGAGGCTATTATTTATGTCACAGAAGAATATATTATTATCCCCAATCCTTCTATATAAAAGGCACTCATTCATCAAATTTGGTTCTCAGTGCATACAAAAACTGCTAAATCACCTAGTGTCTAGTATCTTCCAATACATTTCAAAGAAAACAATTAATTTAAAATTGAAACTAATTTTAAAAAATTATCTATTGCTTAAAAGTTGATTTTGATGTCTTAATTTATCAATTTACTTTTTTATAAATTAGTTTTCAGATCAGTATTTGTAGTTATAGCTAAATAATATAGCTAAAATTTTTTTTTTTTTTAACCCTAAATTGTTAATAAAATGACGTACGTTTATAGTTAGCGAATTCATCGCAATACTTCTGTGAGGTCTTTATCTGATACAGCTTTTTGACAGAGACATTTTCTTATAACCTTACGTATAGAAAATAATATTTTGAGTAATAATGGAATGTTTCAAGTTTCAAGATTGATATTTTTTTAATTGTCTATAATTTATATAGTTGTGTATAACTGAATAATAAGTCGTTATTCTAAATTTCTACGTGTGAATATTAAATTTCATTGCAATTATAACATTAAAAACCATATAATAAAAGACATTTTATATAAACTGTCCAGCGAGAGAACGGGCCGCAGGTCAACAAAAATGTTTATTTTGCCTATCGCTGCGTGACACCCAGCTACTAAATAAAGCAATACCATCAAAACCGGTTCCACTAAGGCAAGGCGTGGGGATGCGCAAAACCGGGAAATTATCTCGGTAGCCTACAAACATTTTTAAAGCTGTTTGAAAAAATTATCAATATCGATAAAAAAATAAACGAAAAAAGTAAAAAGTAAAAGAGCTGGTATAAGTGGGTAACGTTTTTCTTTACGTTAGGTGATTGTGGACGAAAAACGATTCAGCGCAAAGACAGTCTGTCAACCTATAATATTACTAGGTAAGTATATTTTATGAAGTTATTGTGACCAAAGTAGTATTATATAAGATTAGGCATTAATACTACAGAAGGTCAAATTCATTTTTGTCGAAATGTGAAATGTCAATATGTCATTGTGAGTATACAAAATATAATAATTTACTCCCTTTTGTAAAGTCAAAAGTTTCAAGTATCCACAATTAATATCTTTAAATTGCAACAAAATAACTAAAAACGCTATTATTGACTTAAGTATGGAGTTTCGTCCAAATTTGAACTGAAAATACTATAAAAAAACATTTTGTCAACATTTGAACTTCAGACGCTCAAACAAAACTATAAAGTAGATTTACCCTCGACTTTTTGTATTAATATTCATTAACAACATCCTATGAACAACCTTGTATTACCTACAATTTCAAATTTTTTGATCGAGCGACATTTTTAGACATAAAGAAGACATTTAAAGAATGAATAAAAAAAGTCATAAACTTATAAATAGCTCAACATGAATCAAAACATTTTTAAAATTGTATGGTTTGTAGACAATGCTATAATGCACATCCAGTGAAAATGTCATGTATATACAGTATTTTTTTAGTTGCACAAAAGGCCAAAAAATATTTTGAGTAAAAATTCCTGTTTTCCTATTGCTTTTTTTTGTTTTTCACGGCACTTTTGAAAATTACTGGGAATTTTGATCTCCCGATTTCACTAAGTTCACTTTCTCATCGGAAAGGATAAAGCTCGGAATCTAAAGTGCCATATTTTTCCAAAAAAGACAAAATATTTGATGAACGGCAACTAACAACTTATTCGAATTTCAATTTCTATGTAAAACAATACTCCGAAAAATTTTCTTGTTTGGATTGAGAAATTAAAAATGCATGTTCAACTGTTATTCAAATAAGTTAACATGGTGTAGTACAATGCCATACACTAATGTATGTAGACACTAAAATGGATCACCCTGTAAACCGGTGTCTATTTAACGTGAAACATTCATTATGTGAAAAAGTATTCATCGGTTTGAAAATATATTCTGTACACAATTTTAAGCCGTTACAAAACCATATTATATTATATTTTTAATATTTTGTACCACCCTTAATTTTACTTATTTTAAATGACATCATATAGTGTGAATTTACAATTTAAAAGCAGAATATTTATCGCAATACTGCAATACATAAGTATCAAATTTCGGAATGGTAGTTTATGAGTTATAAGTAATTTAAGTTTAGATGAGCTGAGCGGAGCAGTGTACCGCAAAATATTGGTCCACTTCTTCATTTTTTACAACTGTTAATAGTTAGTAATAACTAAGGCTGCAAGGATTTCGATACACTTAGTGTTGTTTTCCAAATCTGGCTAGGAGATGCTAGTCTTATACCATACAATTTTCATGTGCTTTTGAGTGACAAAAATAAATGTTAAGGTCATATTTTTTATTTTATAAGTTTTTGAATTTAAAATTTTATTTTAAGATTTTTACATAATTTTTGTATAAATTTAACAAACTATAACTATATGTACAGATAAATAATGGATATAATCTAAATCTATACAAAACAATAATAATTTATTGAAATAATTGTATTTCCAGATAAAAGAAGTCCAAAACGATCGTTCGATCGGTAAAACGTTTTAACAATTCTTTAAAATGTATAGTCATTACTGCCATTTAAATCAAATTACATTTTTTTTTTAAATTGATATATTATTATTTAGAATTCATAAAATACTTGTCCAAAATTAAATTCACAATATGTATTGAAAGACTCCGAAAAATATTCTGCTTAAGAATATGAAATTAAAACTGTATATGTTGTCATTCAAAATAACATTTTCAAATCCATCAATAATTGTTGAAATAATCAAATGAATCACTCGGTATATAGGATAATGCCATGCGGCGGCTGGGCTATGGTTGGTAATTTTTTTTTTATCGATATTACGTATGTTTAGAAAATCAAATAGTCGTCAACAATCTTT